AGCCTGGTTTGAACATGTCTTCCCAGGGAACTGTCAAGTTTTCCCAGCCTCCATTTGAGGGGTAATTGTGCCAGTGACTCTGAATGCTCAGAGCAACCTTGCCACCTCACTTTTCTTTGTACATAACACTCAATTTATTGGAGCAACCAAGCGCCACCTAGTGTGCTGGTCCTTCATTTAAAGCACAGTTAACTTTCTTTAAAGTTGTCATCCTCATTTTTTTAACTTTTGATGCAATTTTAAAACTGTAGGAAAAAATGCAACCACTCGAGCACAATTACCAGATTCACCACTTGTATATGTTCGCCCCATTTGTCAATTGCTTTATCATTCTTTGCCCCTCTTCTCCTCTTTCTCCCCATCCCTCTCTCCCCCCAAATCCCCCTTTCTTATGAGCATTTTTTTCCTGAGTCAGTTGAATAAGATGCTCCCATATCCAGCTCCTTGACCCCTGAATACTTCACTGTGTATTTAAGATGCTCTTACATAGGAAGTGTTAGTTGCTCAGTCATGTCTGATTCTTTGTGACCTCACGGACTGTAGCCCACAAAGCGTCTCTGTCCATGGAAATCTCTAGGTAAGAATACTAGCCATTCCCTTCTCCAGAGGGGTCTTTCTGACCCAGGGATCAAACCCAGGTCTCCTGCACTGCAGGCAGATTCTTTACCATCTGAGCCAACAGGGAAGCCTCCACTCCTACATAACTACAATACAAATCACCAAAACCAAACAACAGTAACAACAAAATTAGCACCTATAGAAGATAATCTAATCTTCCGTCCATGTTCAAACATTATCAGTTGCCCCTATAGCTCCTGCTTCTAGTGTAGTGTTCATTTCAGGGCCACACCCTGCAGCTTTGCTTTTGTGTCTTTTTACTCTCTTTTTTCCTTTGCTCTTCTTTGTCGTTTTTGATTATGACATTTTTAACATTTTATTGAAGTTTTACTATAAGTAAAAGCTTCTGATATATATATCTATATATATCATAAATGTACAGTCCAGTGAATTTTCCACACATGGAACACACCCATGTTACTGGCACCAGAGCAAGAAATAGACCCTAAATACAGCACCCAGGAGCCCTCCTCAGCAGTTAACTTTTACTGTGCACAGTGATTAGCCAAAAGAAGCGTGAATTCTTTTTGACCAGATTCAGCTCTTTCATTCCAGCGCATCTCCTGCTTATGGCTCTAAGATGTCTTGCTCGCATGGTGGAACAGACCTCTTGCTGCCATCTGATACCAGGAGGGGTCTGTCCGCTGTGGTCTGAAGGAAGCCAAGAGTTTGGTTTAATGAAGTTAGACAGGGGAATGATATTGTTCACATCTAAGGAGCAGAACTCCTGTCTATGGTGATGGACCTTTTTGTGTTCCAGTTCTTTGGGGACCTTTTAAATCTGGTCCTTCTGCACTTGACCATGTGCAGTTTGTACCCCTGGGACTTCCATGAAAGGTACTGGGGCTGGACAGTAAGCTCCTGTCAGGCAGCATTCACTGGTTTACATGCTCTGGGGGCATTCCTGATTCCCCAGCCTGCTTTAGGCCACATCCAGTGCCTCCTGAGCAGCAGTAACCTCTGTTTATACCAATGCTTTTACTGGGGGGATGATTTCATTCCTATCTAGGGCCCTGATCTGACTCTAGGCTGCATGGAACAGCGACCCTGTCCGTTTTGACCCCCATGTGGCCCCAGTGGTGCCCGATGCTTAATAGACAATAAATAGCTGTGATGTGGAAGAAGGAATACATCAGTAGTGCCTTCTAACAAACAATAAGATCATGGCACCCTGAAATATGCTTCAACCCAGCGTAACCCCTTTTGGCATAAAACAAAAGAGATTAAAAAAAAAAAAAAGAATAGAGATGGATCGTTCTGGCTCTGAGAATTTGAGGATGTTTTGCTTGTTTTCGTTTTAAATGGGAGAAATCACACTTTTGAAAAATGCCTAAATTCATCCTTACATATACATCAGTTCAGTTCAGTCACTCAGTCGTATCCGACTCTTTGCGACCCCATGAATCGCAGCACGCCAAGCCTCCCTGTCCATCACCAACTCCCGGAGTTTACTCAAACTCATGTCCATCAAGTCGGTGATGCCATCCAGCCATCTCATCTTCTGTCGTCCCCTTCTCCTGCCCTAGTAGACACTTAAAAAGCATGCATTTCTTTTTTTTTTTTTTATACCACAGCTTCCTCATCCATTCGTCTGCTGATGGGCATCTGGGTTGCTTCCATGTCCTGGCTATTATAAACAGTGCTGTGATGAACATTGGGGTGCAAAAAGCATGCATTTCTAATTAATTGTTTTGAGAGCATAGTACTACTCTAGCAGGGAAGCTGCATGTTGCTATTTTCAAGAAATTCTATATTTGTCCCATTGTATTACTTTGTTTAAGAATCACATTTAGCCAGGCCTCATTTCAGTGTCTATTCTTAACATTTGCTGGGGAGGAAGTTCTGTTTTACTAAACAACCAGAGCCCGATTTATTCAGGAAAATACAGATTATAAAAGGTTTGCAAGCAAAAGAAGGTTTTGAAAGCCAAACCTTTGAACGGGTTGTTTTTTGTTTGTTTGTTTGTTTTTTTATTAGTTGGAGGCTAATTACTTTACAATATTGTAGTGGTTTTTGTAATACATTGACAAGAATCAGCCATGGTTTTACAGGTATTCCCCATCCCGATCCCCCCTCCCACCTCCCTCTCTGCCCGATCCTTCTTGGTCTTCCCAGTGCACCAGGTCCGAGCACTTGTCTCATGCACCCAACCTGAACGGGTTGTTCTTAAGAAGTTAAATAGGCTCCGCTGTCTTTTCTTCCACTTTTTCCCTTCCATATGAACAGTAATGATGATAGTAATACAAGTGGATGCTATACTCGGTAACAGTAGGAAGTCTCACCAAAACCCTCTAAACTGTAGAACTTGATCTTTGGGGCACACACTTAAAACTGCTGCCTTTGGGTTCTCAAGTGCTGACGATCTGGGGTACGTCGTTTGTGCTGTGTGACCCCGTCTCAAATTAGGGCTGACCAGTAGTAGCTCGGGGCTTCCCTGGAGGCTCGGTGGTAAAGAATCGGCCTGTCAATACAGGAGACTTGAGTTGGATCCCTGGGTTGGGAAGACTCCCTGGAGGAGGAAACAGCAACCCATCCCAGTATTCTAGCCTGGGAAATCCCACGGAGCAGCCCCGACGGCTACAGTCCATGGGATGGGGCTGCAAAGAGGCACACGTGCCTGAGGACTAAACAGCAAGAAGTAACAGCTAGGCAATCAGGAGTGCTCCTGGCTTGGTGAATGGTTAGTAGCAAAGGAACGTATCTGAAATATACATTTCCTCACTACTTTTTCAACCTAGTTTTCTCAGCCACTATGGTGGATAGTGATGACTTACAACTCCAGTGTGACATTTTAAGAGAACCGGTGAGGCAGGGGGAAGGTAGTATAAGTGTAAATGTAAAAGATACGGCTCATTCTGTCTTTGAAATTGTTGGTGTGAAGAGAGCTCAATAGTGTTTTATTTAAACAAGGTCGGCTCCGACCTTGATTGACTTGTAGTAAATTGCCTGGTACAAGAGGCAAAAGGAAGTGGAGAGAAAAATGGCAATCAGCACCAAATGTTTCACGCATTGATTGACAAGCACCAGAGATGTGCTAGAGTAAGATAAATTGGCCAACAGGGCCCATCTTGACAGCTCCTGAGATGGGAAAATTGTTCTTGTTAATTTGCTGCGGGAACCTTGTCATTTATGGAATGTACACGTGAGTGTCTCCTAATTGTATAAACAAAGTTCAGATTCCTTCGCAGCTTTGTGCTGTTCTCAGATTTGGTAATTTTTTGGTCTGAATCACCAGGATGCATTTGTAAACAGCTTTTGAATTGGGGGAGAAAAGGGGAAGCAGTGTACCTGCTTCAAGCTGGCATCTTCCACTGCAATATAGGAAATTGCTTGGCAGACATTTTCCTCTTAACAATAGGTTTCAAACAAACTCATGTGCAGAAGCTTCCTTTCCATCCACTTCCCATGATCTTCTTCTGGAAGAAGATCTTAATTGGCTGTGATGGATCTTAATTGGCTTTATCTCATCACAGGCAAGAATTGGCAGTTTTTAGATATGTGAGTTTGTTTATAGAGATTTGAGAGTGGCCAAAAAAATCCTTCATAGGTTTTTCTTACCTTCACCCCTTCGGTGTTTCATTCTCTTTCAGCTGTCCCCTAGCATCCGTTAATTTCCATTGGAGTTTAGTTGCTTTATAATGTGAGTACAGCAAAATGAACCAGTCAACATACATACATCTGCTCCCTTTTGGACTTCCTTTCCATTCACGTCACCACAGTGCATTAACTAGAGTTCCCTGTTCTATACAGTATATTCTCATCAGTTACCTGTCTTATACCTTGTATCAATAGAGCATATGTGTCAATTCCAGTCTCCCAATTTCTTCCATTCCCCCTCTCCCCACTAGCATTGTTTTTCTAGAACTTTCCCTCCCCTGTCTCCTTCCACCATGCTGAATTAATGATTGTCATTTCTCAGTCCCCTCTTTACATCTCTTTCTATAAATTCAACTATAATTTGTATTGAGTAGTGGGCAGCCTGCCAGAGAGATCCATCTATCAGTCATCTTTGTGTCTTATTTACCATTTTTTGCAGATTAGGTAAAAATTTATTTTCCTTTTAACAGTGTAATTTTAAAAGGTTGTTGCAGAAATTTCTTTTTATATTTTTCAAGTAGAAATCCTCCCCATCATTACCTTCTTTCTCTGAATTTTTTCAGACCTTTGTCCATTCTTGATTGGGTAGGAATGATATTTTTATTTAAGAGGGCTATGTGAAAAATAACTTCAAAATATAAGAAATTAAATGTAAGTGAATCTTTGAAATAATTAGGTATTATTTTATTAACCACCTTCATTGATGTCACAATTCTGAACCAATGGGTCACTATACCACTCTCCATGAGAAAGATCCAGACTCAAAAATGTCCATGATTCCCATATTATCTTGTGCAGACCCCTTTATTAGTAAAGTATTCTTTCTGGTTTTAGGCAGGTCTCAGGGATGTTTGAAGCAGTCTGGCATATAAGATGGGCTTCCCTTGTGGCTCAGCTGGTAAAGAATCCTCCTGCAATGCAGGAGACCTGAGTTCAGTCTCTGGGTTGGGACGATCCCCTGGAGAGGGAAAGGCTATCCCCTCCAGTATTCTGGCATGGAGAATTCCATGTACGTGAAATAAGATAAGGGAGTGGTAAGGCCTGAAGTGAACTGGACAATATAAGCCCCGCTAAAAGCATTTGAGGTTATGCCCACAGACAGGCAGACAGACATTGCATGCTGCAAACTGTAAAGGTGCAGAGTTTGTGATTTTTCAACTCAAACTTACTGCCCTTAACCTTTTCCAAAATACTCGCTTTCTATCTCATTTTTGTTTTCAGAGCAGCCCTGGAAGGCAGGCTCCTGAAATTCCATTTTCCCCACTTCACAGTAGAAACAGGCACACCAACAAGTGTTCGTGGAGGCAAGGAACAGACTGCTGAGCTCATCCTGGCCGCTCCTCCTGCGGCCGTTCTTCTGGCCACTTTCCACCCACCTAGGGTTCATACACGGCTTCCTTCCAGCCTTGTTCTTTCACCCGCCTCCCTCCACCATCTACTTAGCTAGGTGTCATTCCTAAACCATCTCTAGTGGTCCCTAGTTGTCATCAGCCCCTCCTTTCCCAGGGAGAGGTCACTACACTTTCTCTGGGTCCCCCCGCCACACTAAGCAGATGCCTTGAAGAGCAGATACCATGTTGAAAACAGCCACATAGTGGCCAGTCTGTGTTCCTCGCAAACGTGTGAATTCCTCGAGGACACAGGCTATGCCTGGTTAAATGTTTTGGTCTTCCTATCTAAGCCAGTTCCTGCCACACGGCCAGCCCTCAGTGAAGACTGGCTGAACAAATGTAAAATGTTAGCGTACCCTCAGGACCACTCAGCGACTTAGAAAAGTATTGGATCCGGCATCCCTGCAGTCAGCTTTTTTCTCCATCTGCATGCATCCATCCACAGGGCCTGACTGGCAAATCGTTGGATTTAGAAATTATCCTGAGTCAGAAGCAAGAGGGAAAGGGACTCTGACATGTCAGCAGCGCTCAGATCGCTAGAGAAAGTTCACCCCCAAGTAGCCTGAAAGTGGTGGGAGTCTTTTTTAGAATGCTCAGGTGGTATTTATGTGATGCTTATGTGTTTATGTGATGTTTTGAAAGGTTGAGAACAGATGATGCCATGGCGTAAAATTCTAAAAGTAATACTGAAAACAATGCTAGGGTATTTTGGATCTCTTTTATTAACAAATTAGTAGCCCAGGACATGTTTATGAACCACATTCCCCAGGCTAGGTTTCAGAGAAAGCCTCTTTGGACTGTTCCTAAGTGGCATATTTTGTGCCAATAAATGAACTTGATTTTTCCCTTTCTACTTCGATAAGATCCGCATTCCAAATTGTGCGTTATCTTGAGGACAATAAGGATGTGGTTTCAGAGACTCTGGCTTTTTGGACTGAACCACAGAACTCATCTTACTCCATTTTTATCCACACTTGGATTTCCTCTCTAGCATCACCATCAAGGGCTGTTTAACATCTGCCTGAATGCCTCCACTTATGGTGAACTCATTCCCACACAAGAAATATCATTTCATGTGGTTACTAGTCAGTTCATCAGAAAATCCAACCTATTTGGCTTGACATTTTTCCCCTTACTTTCTTTATTTCTTGGTCCCTTTTCTAGCCTCTGTAAACAAATAAAATAAATGCCAACCTCCCTCTACAGGGCGGGATGGTATGGACTAGATTAAATCTGCTCTTGTACACAGCAGACCCTACCTGCCCCAGTCTCTAGTTCTCCTGGCTGAGTATCTTAGTTTCTTTAAAAAAAAAAAAAAAGGTTTTTTTTTTTTTTTTTTTTTTGCCTCACTGCACAGCATGTTCCCTGACCATGGATTGAACCCGTACCACCTGTTTTGGAAGCATGGAGTCTTAACCAGTGGACTACTAGGGAAGTCTCTTAGTTTCTTTTAGACTTTGACCTGACTTGAATTTACTCCCCAGTGCCATCTTGCCATTTTCTTATGAACATCTTGCAGTTTACAGTGTCATGTTAAATGTTACTATATCTGTGAGTATGTGCTGTCTTAGTGCAGAACTTGAAGTATGGTTTCTTCAGAACTTTGACTTCTCTTAGTGGTTTGTTTGGGCCCAACACATCTATCAGTGCCTCATAACAGAGATGCTATTTTATATGTGCTTCTGTTGAATCCTATTTTCCCATCTAGGACTTGATAGGTTTTTTCCTTCTGTTCTTTTATCCTCTATGAAGAACTTTATATTTACCCTCTTAGATTTCAGACTAAGTGATTCAGCCTTCATTGCTTCTTCATTCTCATGTCCAAAATATAAGCTTTTGATTCTAGTACTGCATTTCCTACAAATGTGCCAAAATCACTCTTTGTGTCCTTATTCAGTTTTTCTGTGAACCTACAGGACTTCTCAACAAAGCAGCCCTGTGGTCTATCACTAGGAATGTGCAGAGTGATAGCCGTTGGTGGGTCAAAATAGACAGCTAAATAGGCCATAAATGCTGGATGGGCCATGAGACTCGCTTCAGACTGTTAAATCGTAAATGCATAATAAAATGATCTTAGATCTTAGCCTGGATTGAAAACTCAAGTTCCGCTAAGGACTATCTAGACAATATGAATGGATGAAATAGCCAAAGTTAAGTAAAAGAGAATGGTGAGGTCTCTGGTAAAGTAAGGGTTTCCCAGGTGGTGCTAATGGTAAAGAATCCACCTGCCAATGCTGGAGGTGCAGGAGATACGGGTTCAAACCCTGGGTCAGGGAGATCACCTGGGGGAGGATATGGCAGTCCACTCCAGTATTCTTGCCTGGAGAATCCCATGGACAGAGGAGCCTGGAGGGCTACAGTCCATGGGGTCGCAAAGAGACAGACACAACTGAGCAACTAAGCATACATGCATGCTGGTAAAGAGTGTATATTTTAATCGAAGGCATTAAACTTCAATTTTTTTAAAAAAACACAGTTTTGGTTAAAAAATACATATGTGTACATGTATATGAGTGTGTGTGTGTATATGCATGCCAGATAAGACCAGTGGCCCACCGCAGGGCAGACCATGCTCCAGAGAAAAGCGTTAGAACCAAGGAACAGACCTAGACCCGTGCATTTCTCCCATGTAGACAGCAATCCCCAGCTCTTAAAAGATTTTCTGGAGAGTTGTTACTAAAAACTACCCATGCCCTTTTCCTTCTTGGGTAGTTTTTAAGGTATTAGTTGATTCCCTAACTGGTGACTTCTTGCCAGAACTCTCTGTGTCAGCCTCATTTCTGTTGTTGATCTGACTGCTCTCACAGAGCTCGGTGCCCTGGTGGGGGAGTTTGGGAGCAGCCTGGACATCTGCCCCCTTCTACCCCGTTCCCAGCACCCTGGGGTGGGTGGTCCTGACACTGGACCAGACAGACCACATAGAACAGGCCTCTTTTAAAGCCACATTGCACATTGTTTAGTTTCCCATCAGGACTCTAACCAATTACCATGAACTCAGTGGCTTAAGATAACACAAACTTATTAGCTTACAATTCTGGAAGTGAGAGCCGGAAAGCAGTCTCAATGGACTAAATTCAAGGTGTCCACAGAGGCATTCCTTCTGCAGGCTCTAGGGGAGAATCTCTTTCCTTGCCTTTTCTACTTCTAGAGACTGCCTGCATCCCTTGACTCCTGGCCCCTTCCTGACGTCACCCTGACCTCTGCTTCTGTGGTTACCTCTCTGAACTTTGACCCTTCTGCTGCCTTGTTATTTCCCTCTTATCACCCCAATGCAAGATCCTGAACTTTATCCCATGTGCACATTCCCTTTTGCTGTGCAAGGTAACATACTCACAGGTTCCAGGGACCAACTAGGTTATGGGTGATGTTGGGGACCAGTACGGTGTTCACCACGTATGTTGTATAACTCATCCGTATCACATGTAGTCATGAGGCTAGCTGGTGGAGAAACACTCAGCTCTGCCACTTTCCTTCTTATCAGCTGAGCGATGCTGTGCCTGGAGGGGTTCGCTGAGGAGGGGAACTCTGCCAGGACTTAGGAGACAGTGGCAGTCTCGGTGCGGTGCTAGGTTGTGTGATGGAGAGAGAAGATGGAACTCCTTCCTTGAGCTCAACATTTAAAACTAGAAACTTCTTTCCTCCTTGACATGTAACCCAAAGAAGATGTCACCTCACTTCTGAAAGTAAGCAAAGCCATAAACAGAATCCAGGAAAAGCCTGGGAAATATCTTCCTGGGGGACAGGGGCTATTCCAGAAGATAAGGGTCTACAAAGGTAAGGTTTGCATGATTATTTAAGAGAAACGAACTTTTCCAAAGGACCTGGGCTATGAAGAGAAAGCAGGAAAACTGGACCATCAGCTGGTCGCCAAGGGCTGACTTCGTGTGGCTACCCCCAGCCCACCCCTACCCGTTAGTGTGAAAGGAGTTAATAGCAGCTCTCCGTAGTGTGACGTAGATGAGGTTTGGCATAAAAAATGCTAAATAATTACAACTCTGAATGTTCTCATCTTCATTCACAAAGGTGTGATCTTTCCCACCTAATACTATCACTCTTAGAGAGCATGAATCACTAATTGTTGTCTGTGAGTTTCTCCGTGGAACCCAGCAACAAAGAGCAAAGCCTTAAAGCTGACATATGAGGCCATGTGTCAGCCTACATGGAGATTTCCATTTCCCACCTTGGACATTATGTTGTTTGGAGTCAGTAGAAGATTAACTGGGGGAGGGACCTATTGATCAATGTGATCATTTGCTAGGTGTTGGGGGATGGGTAAACTACGAGAGCCAGAGCCATTTTTATCTTAGTTTGTCCTGTGGCTCACGAATTCTGAGTCCTGCTATGAAGTTGTCTTTGATGAGAAGACAATGGTTGTGTGTACAGTCATAGATTTTTTAAAAATATTATAAAGAAATATGTATATATCTGTATCCACATTTACCCTGGTTACCGAAGATATTAAGCAAGGATTTTTATAGTGTCAGACACTACAGAAATGCTTGGTAAGGTCAAAGAGCCTGTTATCTATTTCCTTTCTAGGTGTTACTCATCTTCTTGTTTTAGGGTATAAAAAGACTCCCTGAAAGGCTTTGGATTTGGGCCTTGAATGCATCAATACCAGTGCTCAAGAGTAGACTTCTGACTATAAGGAATTAAAAAAAAAAAAAGCTTCTTGGACTTAAGCTTTGATTGAGGCTATGTCTGTCTTTGTGGGAAGCGGCAGCAGCAGCAAAAAGGAGTCTTCAGGTCAAGACTTGCTTAGGTCTTTCTGCAGGGGACAGCTGGAGACTCCTGAAGCTCACTTGTTTGGGAGGGAGGTGGCGAGGGAGTGAAGGAAATAGAAGTGCTGCTTTCCTTCCTCCTCTCTTCATTTCTCTGGTGAAAGAAATCGAAGCCAAGGAGTTACTGTCTTTTTTAGAAAAGTTTCATTAGAGTAACATAAGTTAATACGGTCTTAATTGACCCTCTGATATTTTTAAAAATAAGGAGAATAGTAATGTTGGCTGTTTGTTACCTAATATACTAATTGTCTACACAGAATTTTCCCCACTCCATAATTCTCATCTCCCCATTACCGTATCCTTGATATTCTTAATGGAGAATCAGCAGCCAGAGATGCTTGAAATGATATTTAAATTATTTGAGAAAGACTTCTAATTAAGCTGGTGGGAAATATATGGATCTGTGCTGAAATTGCAGGTAGCTGATTTGCTTTTCAACTTCTCTAAGGTTTTGCAAGTTTAAAGCTCAAGTCAAAGGCAGAATTAATAAAAGCACAGTTGAACTTAATATATTATATCAAGATTTACAGTAACAAATTATTGTTTTTCAGCTATGAAGATACCATTAAGCATATGCCAAGCAATCAGGGCATGACTGTAATAGGTTCATGAAGGAAAGCCTTTTACTAATCGTTTTCGGTGGTGTTTTTCCCAAGACAGCAACAGCTTTTATAAAATGATGGTTATATCTCCTCATTATAGAACCTAATCTCCCCCAAAGACATTCAGCAGCTGCAAAACACTAGCATCTTTTAGTTGTAAATTGTTTTTTATTATTTATTCCTATTTAACTAAAGAA